TACCAAAGGTTCCCTCTAGCTTTCACGGAGATCCTACTCTACCCCTCGAGCATGAGTGGTGGTCGGGTCAGTTCGAAAGAACCCTAGGCCGATCGGAGATTTTAAAGAAGACCTTTGCTCTGCCCGATGATGCTACTCCCCCGGCTGCCATGTTGGTCGCAATGGCTGAATCTATTCGACGACGCCCACTTAATGAAGCCTGCGATTCGACCTCTGGTACTGGTCCTCAGGTCGACCCAAATGCCTGCTCGAGCAACGCTGACTCGACTGCCGCCCCTCTCTTCCGTAGAATAGTATTGTATTTTCCAGTTTTCATTTATATCTAATTGAATTTCTGTAATGTGTGTACTTCTTACGATCTCACGATCTTCTTGAAATGAAAATGTTTTTGTTGGCTTATTTCTATCTTTATCTATGCTTGTGATGACCTGCTTCGGTGTGTTTGTGTGGTTTCTTAGTAAGGTAGCTTGGATGAGCTCATATGCTGTTAACATATTTTCCTTCTTTTAACTTGTACTTTCCGTGTAATTGTGCACTTCGAACACATGCTCTCATGATCTCCATCACGACGAGTTTTCCTTTTTGAACACATGCCCACTTTCCAAAGGGTAGTCGTAACATACGGCCATCCAGCCTCATAGCCTTAATCATGGTGGTTTTATGCTTGAACGTATGCCCACCTTCGAAGAGGTGGTCTTTACATACGACCATCCAGCCTCGTGGCCTTAATCATGATGGATTTTTTGCTCGAACGCATGCCCACCTTCGAAGAGGTGGTCGTTACATACGACCATCCAGCCTCGTGGCCTTAATCATGATGGCTTTTTTGCTTGAACGCATGCCCACCTTCAAAGAGGTGGTCGTTACATACGACCATCCAACCTCGTGGCCTTCATGATGGATTTTTGCTCGAACGCATGCCCACCTTCAAAGAGGTGGTCGTTACATATGACCATCCAGCCTCGTGGCCTTAATCATGATGGCTTTTTTGCTTGAACGCATGCCCACCTTCAAAGAGGTGGTCGTTACATACGACCATCCAGCCTCGTGGCCTTAATCAT